AGACGTGTAACGACACTGTGGCTCAAATCAGCTGAAATTATTTGACAAGTCTCTCGGACGAAATAAATATAGACGACGTAAGTGCCCCGGTGAGTGGAGTGTGAGATATGTGAGCAACGACGGATGACAACAATGAACGACGGAAAGAGTGAAAGAAGCGAATGCTAAACGCTGTCGAAGAGGGAAGTGAGCCGAAGGAAGTCATTTGCTCGCTCAGTCGTCGTGAAAAATCCACTAACGAGTCCAGCTAGCACCGCCACCCCCGTTGCACCACTCAATGCAACAGGCAAAATAACAACATTGCCTCTAAGACTGACGAACAGCAAAACAATCCATGATTACGGTTTGACGTCAACTTCAGGGTCAACTTAAATGAACATCTGCAAGGAAGAAACTATCTGTAATAGAGAAAGGCATGTTAGCAAATCTTCGAATAGATGCGTTGGTGACAATCTATTTAGCAGTGTCACTAAAGTGAATGTGAAGAACATCACCTGCTTAGATGTTTGTTAAAATTCTTCTTTACGGAGAGTTTCTACTTTTTTTGGATTGGAACAACGTTTGAAGACATTTGAACGAATAAGTATGAGGACAAAGGCTACTAGATGTGCTACAAATCTATAACTTCTTTACGATCTTAAACAGTTATATTCCACTTGATTTATTGCTGTAGTGAAAATTTAGCCGACTCGGAAACCAGAAGATTCAGTAATAGTCGCAAATGTAATCCGAATTTTGCAGACAGAGCATATTAAGTTTTGTAAATGTTAGATAGCATTACAATGAAGGTTACTTGAATATTGAATGCTCTGCACTCATAAAGAATAGTACCAGTCGTAGAAAATAATAGCATCGGGCTCTATTACGCTGAGATTTCGCATGTTTGAAAAATTTTCCTTCTAGGATCTCGAAAAAATTTTTCGGAACCCTGGGCAGTTGCCAGGTGGTCTCCTGTAGATGAGATAGGAGAGGTGTGAATCTTCTGATTTCTTCTTCAGTTGTACACGAAGAAACACATCATTCAGAAAAGGGTACTGAGAGCATTGGTGAGGAAGGTTGGAGAGGAGGCTTCAAAAAACGATAAGGGATAAAGCTTTTGTCGTTGATCCGCCCTATAGAATGTGTGGTTAGCCCATTCAGTTGCTTGCTGGAGCCTTATCCTATACAAAGTTCTTTTTTCCTCTCGGTGTAAGTCAGATAACGATTCCGCGACACCGTATAAATTAGTCGTTTGCTCATCCTGAGTCACAAAGTCGAACGAACCACTAGGTGTGTATTTAAGGCCACCCGTAACTGTCCACGGGGTACAAATGCACGAATAAATTTCTTAAGATTGTTACTCGACAACTAGTTGCTTTCCAGGTGCACCATCTTGGCAAGTGTACGGAGTTACGTTTCATTCACACGGCCCACAATCCGTTATTCATGAATTATTTATTCTGTGGTCCCAGTCAACGAAGAATGAATTCATTGAAGAACAACTCTAACACGCATTGAGCACATCCTTTTTCTGAAAGAAAAATCATGCAAGCGTGTAGTTCAACTTCTCAATGGTCTGAAACGTTCTTCTAGAAGTTAGGTAGGTAAAACACCGGTATCTTGTTTCAACCACACTTCTGAACGTCATCGTGTACAATGTAGGATTAGACTTCCACCACATGCAACAGCGAGCTTGAAAAATCGACAATTCTTTTGTTACACCAAAAAAACCCAAGGTATACTTCGATTCTTTCCTTGTTGTTCAATTTATGTTTTATATGATACACAATCATCGAGCTTCTCCATCTTTTCGAATATATTCCAAAGGATGAACGGTTATAAATAGTGAGCACAGAGTTCTTTTGCAACCTTCCGTGCAGTTTCATTGAGCCAGTAAGGTTGATTCTACTCCTTAGATGGATGTCACTCCTTAGATGAACAGATAATGGATCGGCACGACCTACTTTTTAACTCGTATGTGCACTGCGCAGTTTTCTTACCCATCCACTCGAAACATTTCAGGCCGTTTTCACTGCACTAAGTTAAGTCAGAAATTATGAATCAAAGCAATGCAAATTTATTTCTTTGGGAGCATCTAAGCTGTAGATTTGTTCCTAGCAACAACGAAAGCAATAGATACTTTTTACTTTTTTTTCAGATTTTATAAAAACGAAAACGGCTACTTTTTGCGCCAATCATTTCTCCGTAAGGTTTTCCACATCCATAGAGAACGCTTCGACCTTGTTTTCATCGCAGCCTGATGCTGGGCGTATGATGATAAGCATTCGAAATCCGATATTGACAAAGGTTTTTTCAGTCGCTGAAATAGACGCGTAAGCTCTGTATAATCATTGTTCACCATATTTTTGCCAATCGTTAGCTATGCTTTCTTAAATATTACAATTATAGTGTGATTTATAACTTTTTTGTAGTCATTTTTATAACATCAGGACTTGCTTTATAAGAAGCAAATCAAATGAAAGAGGCAAAGAAGCAATCTACACAATATGAAATGCTAGGTCTTGTTAAAAACGGCACTTAGATGCTGCAAAATTCTATGGCTTCCTTTATTGATTATGCAGATCAGTGGACAATTCCGACGTTGATGCTTAAGCATTTCCAAAGCTGAGAACCCCAAACCAACGTGGGACCCGCGATTACACGTATTCCGGCGGTACACGTATTGTCCAATGAACCACCAAATTCCTTGCCTCGCCTTCCTCTCAACAGTTTTCTACTCTAACGGTGCTATCAGCAATCACACTTCAATAGGAATGAGCATATTACCTATATATAAAAAAATAATAGTCAGTGGAGAGAAGGTTAAACACTGTGATTTCCATTTTACTGATATTTTTCTTTCGATTAAGGTGTTATACTTATTTCGCCGTTCTGAAAGATTGAAGAGATGTTGGCCGTTCAATTACCAATATTTGTGAATAGGTAGAAGATTTAGCAGATTTGACGAATAGTCCTCAGTTGGTTAGGCCTCCAAGAATAATTTATTACCACAGTCACACAGCAAACTGGCATTTTAAATTGACGTTGCTAAGCCATTTCATCTTAAAGAGATTGCTCACGATTGCATCATAGTAAATGTGTGCAGATAATCATATCTGAACGAGAAGGTGATTCAAGCTGACATTCAACTGACTTGGATGAAAGTATGAATGTTGGAATCTTTGAGAGGCTCTCGATCCTTACATGCTATCTATTTCGTCCAGATGGTCTTGAGCATAAACGTTGCCCCAAAGGCCGGATGAAACAGGTTGCAAATAAGCTGTAAGTACAAAATTTTATGTAAGAGCAATTGACGTTAATTGATTGGTAACTAGCAGATAACCACCGGCGTTGGTTCACACTTTACTCAGGACGCTAAGTGAACATAAACGATTAGAAACACGTTTACAGGAAGACTAGCACTATATCAACATTTCGTTGCTACTCGTTCTGGTCTACGTTAGTGAGACGTATGAAAAGACATTAGCTATGAGGAAAATCGTTGCCACTTGCTAAATTAACGATTGAGAAAATAACTTAGACGATCAGTTAGCGCATAAAGCACCAAGTCAGACCATCCAACTTACATTTTTGAAGAATGCCGCATATTGGTAGTCTGTGTACACGTGTGTAAGGAAAGTGACTGATTTGTCCCAGAAAAAAGTAGTCTATGAAATTCGCTTTGGAGTGAAAACGATTCATTGTTCTCTTGCATGAAACAACCGCATCCGCTGAGGTTTCGTCCAAACTCGGAGCAACTTCTGCAAGCTGTAGGTGAAATTGTTACGACAATGAGAAAATTCCTGTAAGATATACTGAAACAATGTAAAGATCATGTCGTGGTGCATATATAAGCGCTCAATAAGCTGAATAACCTTCTTCTGTCCTCCTTCAAGAAAACGAAAGTTTGTCGCCTCGTAATGAAAACGAGGTCTTTGTGCATGGCTATCGATCTTCGATGTACAGTACATGTTTTTCTTTTGACATGGTCAAAAATTGATAGTATTCGGGCTCAACGTCCTTACACAATAGCTCAACCAAAAGTAATTTTATGATAAGCCAGCACTCGATGAGATACCTATTGTAACAGTCACGCCAAAAACAGTGAAAATAAGCCTACTCATAGAAGATATATCCCGCTCCTTGTGTCCTTCTACGTTGGTGAGGTCTTCTAGCCAATTTTCACTCGAAACAAGGAGAAACATTTAATCTCTAAATTTCTGACTTTCTGTCAAATACGCAGGCTTTTGTAACACTAGCGTTAAAAGACAGAAAACAAGGCTTCCGTGATTGATCAATCTCCTAGAAATTCGTGATGAATTCGATTCCATTTGCAACATCGTAGAGATCACTGAATGCATATTTAGTCTGTTTAATCACTTGCTTGAAGTGGCAAGTCAGTGTTAATCAGTCAGTCAGTAGCAGTGTTTGTGGTGTTTTAAGTCAGAGTTTTCATACCCGAAAATAAGTTTGGTATCAATTTGCCAATCCCCTGAGGAATGAAAGTCTAGGCCTGCCATCACGCAGAATCAAACCAATAAGCACATTTGTATTGCAGGATACACCACTATGCCACACTCCCCACAATATTTCCATTGTACTGTTAAGCTATCATTACATTTTTAAGCATTACGGCAGGCTATGTTTATAACGAAAAAGCTTAATAATACCAATAGTTAACACAATGAAGCCATCCAATATATTTATCCAACTTTGAGCACAAATTTCGAAAACGCTAGAAATACGATAATCTAAGCAGCTTTCATACATACAGGCGTACACACATACACACATATACACAGATATAGATGTTAAATACACACGCACACATACACATACACACATACAAACACCCGTAGACTGAAATCATTGGAGCAGATCTGAAGCGATACTAAAAATAATAAGGAATAAGCTGCGTTTCAAAAAAAGATGCACACAAATAATCCATAGCTGGTCTAGTAACGTATACAATAATCCATCTGCCATAATAAATCAAGGAAAGTGCTCCTTTCCAGGATTAATCAGAAAAATACTAGTAACAAAACTGCGTTTGCTAACATCATTGCCAAATATAAAACACTCGGGTGCTGTCCAGAATTTCCGTTACAGTAATCCGCGTAGCACGTACAGACATCTATAGTGGATTCGTCAATCTGTTCGCCTTCTAGCTTGAAGAGTTCCTTTTTCCTTAAAAGAGCAAGAAAACATTCACATCGGTAAAAACTCATTTTACTTTTCTAAAAATCGAAATTACTTCCAGAAAATCGATAACGATTGCCTTAGAGAAAATTATTGATGAAAAGTTCAAAAATTTCAAGCATGAGGAGTATTACTACCACTGGCAAAGCAGTCCACACCAACATTTTTCTTCGATAAGTAGCGAATTTAGTGCATAAAGCTAGAGATTCAAAAGGATTCATATATTTAAGTTCATTCGAGAGAACTTAAAGAAGAAGAAAGTACTCTGAAAATCAGTGTGAAACCAGCACAAAGACCTGCATAACAAGCTTGCCTAGAACTTCATCAAAAGAAAGGTTTATCATTTGGACAAACGCTTGAGCGGAAAGATTTTCCTATAAAGAAATTCTACGGTTTAGTTAGCTCTTTGATGAGCTATCACGTAAAGCACAAGAAGACATCGACGTTGTCTTCAAGGTGATCTTCACCAATCGCTTCAACTAGCAATGACTACTAGTAAAACTATAGTTAAATTCTAAGCTTTAAAATACAGAAAAGGATCAGTATTTGAGCAAAGTAGCAACGTCATTTTGGACAGTTCGTGGTCACCGATGTGCCAACGTCTTCGAATAATACAAGCAGGTGGGCGTTAAAGAGAATCCAATTTGATTCCTCTTAACTCATAACGAGCGCACTCTGTTCTGTCTGGCTCTTTGAGTGGAATAATAAAGGATAAAGGATGAAGCTCTCGGCTTTGATCAATCCGTAAGGGATGCACCATGCCTTCGACTTCCTTAAGTAACGGTTGGAGGTGATTGAATGCATATCTGGCCTTTACAACGATTCGCAGTGGCCTGTCGATGTATCCAGCCAGTGCTGCTATCCTCCGTCTGGCACCAATTTGCCGACCATGGAGGGTTGGAGGGCTTAGTGGACCATGGGTGCGGAGATCGATTCTACGCGTGTGTTGCAAGGCGCCTCCGAACACTGCGCCAAACGTGCCCGATTTTGAGTGGAATACGAGCTGCTAATTGTCAGCAGCGGAATTTTTTATGGCAAAAAGTGAATTTTGAAAAACTAGAGTGCTTCAAGAGTTGTGAACATGACAAATTTGCAGAAAACACTTTGCTGCACCTTTCTAGGCGCATGAATGATATGCATATAGTGCTCAGTGCATGTTGCTACGCATCATGATGCGAATTTGTCGCTATCAGTACTTGGAAGCACTTTTCGCCTGTGTTGGGCCTATTTGGGTGTTCTTATAACTGCAAATTCCATACAATTATCACAACGATTAGATGAAAACAACAATTAGTACTTACGTAGATACTTAGATGGCCCACCCTCACTAGTTGTGCGGGTCCCAAGAAAATTCCCGTTTTTTGGAGTTTTGCTGCTTTAGCCATTGTGGTTTTCCAAAGTTCCTAGGTCAGCCAGGTCAAAGTTGGCCCCAGGTCGTCACCACCACAGGCAGTCGCCACCCTTGTGGATCAGAAGGAGATTTGCCATCATGGGACTAGTTTGATACCAAGACGGTGGTTGATCCTGGTATTGGTCCACTCTCAGCTAGGCACCCTGATGGAAAGGCCGGACTCCTTCTCAGCTTGGGAGGCCTTGTTGGGATGATGAATCCTTCTGCTGTAGGTTGGAGTCTGACACCCATAAACACCTCTAAGCCACGATGAGGTGGTAAACCGTTAGGTGGTTAATTGTCGGTCAAATAACCGATACATTAACCAACCCGGAAAAAGGTTTTCTGTAAATAATTAAGGCTAGAGGATGGTTTTCTGGTCTCATCATTACTATTCTGTTCTGCTTCTGATTAGTTGTAGAATGGAGATACACAGTGCGGTACAAAAAGAATCTGGGACGCACTATGCTGAAACACTAGCGTCCACACCGGGCGTTCTGGGGTGACCGACGTATGGCGTACAAGAGCATTCAGGAACTGTGTGCTGCATGATGTTAAACGCAAAATGGAGAGACCGCCGAGTCATTGATCAAACTTCTTAACAAATACCTAAGACGAATAATATGTTATTAAGCGAGTCTCTAAAGCGAGTATAACCCACTGCAATACTCTTTCAAACGATAGGAAAAAAGTGATTTCATTGTCGTCCAGTCCGGTCACGAATACGGTGATGACGGCTGATACGGACAACACTAGCGACTACTCCAGTACCCATCAATGTTACCGCTTTATGCCTTCAAGCAACACTGCAACGGATAAGGAACGATTAGACCGTAAGTTGAACCAGATATGAATCATGCCAGGTCAAAATGCACAGTAGATGACCGCCATAATAAAACGACTTTCGTCACTCACTAAACATAAAAATTTCTTTAGATTCGATGGATCGCTTTCGATTGATTTCATTTTATCTGCCATCTTTTGGCTGGCTACTGCTACATCCATTGCTTTACACGACAATGTAAGAGGAAAGCCAGCACAGTCTACAATATTTCCGTAATCTTTTTCTGCAATATTGAAGCTAATAAACCAAAAAAATTAAGTAGTCCGTAAAAAAAAGTTCATCTACAAATCTATTCTGGAAGACTACAATACACTAGAAGGAGAAACCAATGAACGGACAACAGCTATAAAGGCTTTAATATGCTAGAAGGAAAAACCAAAGAGCTGACTACAAGGAGATGCAGATCTATGAATCAAATATATATCAGATCTATATCAGATCAAAATGACGTATCAATAAAAAAAGTTTTTTCTCCAAAACTTCTATATGAACGGACCCGATTTTTGACGCAGGTACTTACCCGATTTCAGATGTTCTTAACCTAAACAAACTAAAAGCAATGGTTGTTTGTTGGAGGTTCAACGCACCTTGGTGTGCCTTCGACGAAGGTGCGAAACCATTTTCGGTGGAATATAACCTATAGAAGCTTCATGCAAAAGTGAACTTAAACTAAAACTAACCGTTATTCCTTCCTTCCTTCCAAAATCGCGACTTATTGTAAAGGAGCAATATGCATACAATCACCTCCAAATCATGCTTAATGAAGACTAATGCATGGCGTATCCGTCAGGGATTGATCAACGCGGAGAGCTAGGTTAGCTAAAGCTAGTTGGCTAACTCTACCAATCTAGATTCTTCCGCGCTAACAAAAGTACGATTTCAAAAGAAAACTTTCTGATTCTGGAAAGTTCAAGCCGTAGTTCATGGCGTAAGCATGATTTGGAGGTGATTGTATGCATATCGCAAGAAATGAACTGATATGAACAGTGGCGTTTTTTTTTTTTTTTTCTTCTTTTTTTTGCAGAATCACAACTCATAAGAATGATTTTGAGAATACCGAATAGGGTCACTTTTAACAATATGCTTGTCAGGTACGCAGTGGTAACTGTCATGATAAAAAAGCTAAGAATGTTCAAATACCTACAAGCAAAAAAAATAACATTTGAGAGTTTAACAAAAACTTATTCCCTACAAAAGAACCGTACGATTCGGAGATCTCAATAGAAAATTCTAGTTGCTATGACAATATTACAGCTAGCAGTGCAACATCTTCAATCTCATCAGTTCACTCTAGCTCAGCTGTTGTTCGCCTCTGTTGATATTGGCAGTCAGACAAACTAGCGTCTACATGAAACAGTATAATGAGCTTCCGGACGATAGTCGTAGATCGACATCAACGACAAGAAATGGATAACAGTGGAGTCTAGACGATCGTAGTCGATATGGAAAGCGCTTACACATAAAATAATGCTCAATTAGATATATGTTTGACGTATTTATCTACTGAGATCTCCCTTCTCATAAAATGATGATAAAGTTAGGTTATGTCACCCACCTGATTCTATTCTTAGCATGGTAGAGGTGAATGAGTGCATATTCTGGCTACGCAATGAATTTCTATCGCAGACCAATGTATCGAAGTAGCGTTTTTCACCCTCAAGGCAAGCCTGTTCTCAAGTTTTCGGACTCGGAGAGAGGAGAGCCTGGTTTGCTCGGGTCATGGGATCGAGCGAACTATCCTGTGCGCATTGCTCTACACTGCCTCGGTTATGTTACAAACGCCGATCTCTTATCAAATGAATAGGAAATGGTGTGAAACTCGTATCTTCTCGAATATCTCTATCTATCTACTCTGTCTTCTTAACAGATCACAGCAGTCCTGAATCGAATCGCAAAACAGAGAGATAACCTAGTAAGTGGAGTAATTCATTACTAAAACAATCAAAATTGTTTTATTAAATTAAAAAGTCATAAAAACGTGTCCGTAATTTTAAAGCTTACTGTATTATTAAAAAATAAAAAAGTACCTATACGATCGACACGAATCCCTATGCATCCAACGGTACCAGCTTACGATCGTCTCGTTAAAACCTCTAATAAGTACATCCTTCATGCAACCTCTTATATGACCGCCAATTCGAACACCTATAAAAATAATATTGTTCCCAAACGACATTCTATTAACCACGGCACTGGGCTATAAATCTGCTGTTTTTTTACAGCAATCGCGAGGTTGCTATTCAGCACACCTTTACTTCCTTACAAATATAATACATACAACGGCAGCTGACGTTTCGGCAGTATCGCCTTCTTCAGAGCCTGGAGAGGTTTAATAATATGTAATTTGCTAGGGCAAACGCTTTAACTACTTAAACAAAGAGATAAAAATCTGAACAATAATTACACGATCACTGGCTTCTCGAAAAACCCACCGTTTTTATCTGCCTTCCAACAAGGAAGAACAGCCGCTTAGAGTCGCACATGGCTAATTACTGCACTACTCCACATCAAAAATCAGTTCTGAGATACAGGGTTGGCAATGGGACAGCGGCTGGAATCAATCCTTGCCACTGCGTTTATGTCTAAAGTAGAATTCCCTGTTCTCGGTCTTCGGCGACCACTCTACTGCAGATATGTAGATGACTGTTTTGTTGTCTTCTCTACGCTGGAGGAGATGGATTTGAATTATTGAACGAGCAGTCTGAGTACATAAAGTTCACCCGGCAGAAACCGGAAAGAAACTGGCTTTCTTTTTTAAACGTTCAAATAAACCTATCAAGAAGCGGTGGTACCGAAAACCAATACTTTCTTTCCACTCTTCACACATAGAGGGCGCTTGTGAAAAACATGTTTCGAACGCCACCTCTGTGTGCACTACCAGAGAACTAAGGAAAGAATAGTGCGACTTGGCTCGGTAAATAACCATCTCCAATGGCTACGAAATAGTAGCCCCACGAGATAAGTTCAGAAGGAGAGCGACGCGCCCACGCGGAACACTTGGCGAAAAGAAAATCCCGTTTATGTTGCCTTTTATAAGCGGTGAAGTAAGCGTGGCTATAAAACGATGCTTAAGAAGGGCAGGTCTAGAGGAATCGGTAGCGATAGTTGAAATACCACCGGCTACTTTACGTCATCAATTAGTTCGTAACCGCCTGTATGACCGCCTATGTGAAACAGCAAATTGCGTAATTTGCCCTTACGGCAGGAACGGTGATTGCATGAGTTCACGTACGATATACCTGATCTCTTGTAATAATTGCGGAGATGAATACATTGGCAAAACGGGCAGACCATTGTGTATCCGTATAAAAGAACACCTAGATGGCAAACGAAAACTAAGATGAAGCACCCCACTAGGCACGCATAGGATACCAAAGCATAGCGGAGACGATTTTGAAGTGAAAGTCAATATCCTTGCACAGGAGTCCAAAACACCAGCGCGAAAACTCCTTGAGGCTTTTTGGATCAATGCCAAAAGCCCTACAATGAATAGCAGGGACGAATGCCCGGAGATCATACGCGACCTGATCTCGTACGTTCGCATCGATTTTTGATGTGGGATGTTGCAGTCGTCAACCACATGCGACTATAATCAGTTGTTGCAAACTTCCTCATTGGAAGTCACGAAAAAACGGTGCGTTTTTCGAGAAGCTGTTGATCGTGTAATTACCAAAGAGTTTTTCGTCTTTTTGTAAGTGTTATTGAAGCGTTTGACCTAGTAAATTACATATTAGTGTATCCTTCCAGACTCTGAAGAAGGCGATACTCCTGAAACGTCGGCTACCGTTGTATGTGTTAGATTTGCAAGGAAGTAGAGGTGTACTGAATAACAACCTAGCGATTGCTGTAAAAAACGATGATATTGTTGTTTTCACAACCTTTTGACTCATTTTATTAAGAAGAATTGATCGAGTCTGGATAGAATAATTACGAAACGAACAACCAAGGAAATTCTGCAGCATTGTGATTGCCTACCGAGACGCCATTCTGCATTTTGACATTATGGAAACAGAAAGCCATCCTCTTATTTTGCACAACCCGTCTTTCACATCTACTGCGCAGCAGTCCCGGCATTTATCACATTCTATTCATTTCCTGGCATCTACCAGCTACGAAGATCTTACAAGTTTTGCTCGTGGGTTTGGTTTCTGTCGATTTTCCCTCCACCACGAATATCGAATTGTGGTTGAGTCGATTCTGCTTAGAGACCTGAGATAGCCGGGTCACAGCCATCCCATTTGGATTGCAGAGAGTGAATTATTCGCGAAAATGTCCGGTGCCAATTTTTCTTCCCCAGAGAGATGAGCCAGGGTGCCGGTCAAACCAATTGATGACCGGCATCTACCAGTGTGCTATCACCCAGTTTGCAAAAAGTTTACAAAAGCTGCTGCCGCTAGTGAGAAGAATTTATTGTAACTTTATTCAACGATCAAAATCCAGGCTAAAGATCTCCATTTGTCTTGGGAAAACATAGGATAAATCCTGTCGATAAAGATTTCGGTAGCAATATAACGGCCAGAGGTGATCTGATAGGTGGTTTTTCTTCATTCTCATGTGGTGCATCTTGCAGAAAACAAAAAATTCCCGTACAACCAACCTGCGATATTTGGGGCTTCGTACATAGAAACACATATCGTATCACAGTAAACAATTGGCACATGATTTTTGCTGATTCGATCATCGTTACAGTCGTCTAAAATTCTTTATTCATTTTTGATTTTACAAACATACGTCGCTACTAGTGCTCCAGCGCTTTACTCCGAAAATGAAATGTTGTGCGTACTCACAAGAGTTCCATACTTTCAATTAGAAACCCAGTTGGAGATAAAATTATGTCACCGCGGAACGAAGAGATCTACCTGCGACTACCTTCTCGCCGTAAAAAAGTGAATGCAAGGGAGGTTGTAGCAAAAAACGTGGGACCACCTTATTTTTCAGGCGAGCGAACCCACTGATCTCCTCAAATTTATACGACTGCAGAGCACCGTATTCTATCCGTGGAGCGAATGGAGACGAGTGGAGGCTTTGCTGATTACCCGGCCATTAGTTACTCAGACACTGACAACAGGCTTATGGATGTGGTGCATATTTCTTCAAAATTCCCTGCGCAACAAATAGCCCAGGCTATTGATTTCATGTAAACAACAAACCCAATCTTTTACAATAGGAGATAAAATAAGGCGCAAAATAAATATTTAAGTGGAAAGTGTTCATAAATGTAACACGCAAAAGTTGTTACCTGTAAAGTTTTTTGGCCTCTTATAGATGTACGATAACGATGGCCAAACAACTTCGTATAGTCGAGACATACAAGAAAAGCATCTAGCGCTGTCTAAAATAAAATACATATGAAGAATGCACGAATATTGAATACTTATTGATACTTACTTAAGCTGATGGGGTGTTGAGATGACTGCACAGGGAAAAAGAATTTTCTTGCTAATATTCTATAGGCTTAAGAATAACCCAGGCTAACCCACATTAACACTCGAAGAGTGCTAAAAAAATTCGGTTGATCTGATTTTACTTCAGCTTGGGTCAGGTCATCTCATGGCATCCTAATGCAATCGTTTGACGAAATTACGGTATGAGGCAGCTAGAGTTAACCTTTACTTAACAAGCAATCGATCAGTTTAGCCATTTTTTTTTCAGTTCATGATAACAGAAAAGCGATTACCCTTGAAATTTGCACCGGTTTCCAGAATCGGAATCTCGTTCATAATAGCGATATACGATCGACTCAAAATAAGTAAAAATATCAATAAACATGGCATACTATAAAAAAGCACAAGCCATGTCCTGTTACTCGCCAAACTATAACCTTTCTTCTAATTGGGAAGAAGTTCTGTAAACGAGATACTGAGTAGAAAGAAGAACACCAGTTGTATTTACCAAAAAACCGTTGTGAATGAAAGAGCTAGAAAACATTTACAATATTCCAGGCCTATTAATCACAGGGAAAAGTTAACTATTGGAGATTTTTGAAAGAAGGACACTCAGATTCATAAATCTCCATAATGATAGAGACCACGAGCTGGAGTACAAGGCTACCCCAAATTGCCGACCTGCAGTTAAACACCGACCACATGCCTCATATGATAGGTGGTGCATACATACGACTCACTCTCTATGTACTATGCATGTGATGAATTATCGGATGCGCTACCGTATATTCAAAGGTGTGGTGTCTAAGATCAGGCAAACCTTGACCAGACTACAGCTGTTGGCGATGTTAAATGCACAATACTGAGACGACGGACCAGATGGTCAGAATTCATAACAAAGATCCTAGAAGAAAAATATGACAAGGAACGTCTGGATCGAGAGAGCAGAACGTAGCTAAGCGACCATGGTGGCCTCGACAGGATCAAATAGAGGTCTGGCTTGAGCGCATCTTGAGTCATTCAGTGGATGACAGACTACGCAGATGATACTAAATATAATCAATGACAACTTTGAGCAAGGGTTCTAATTACTAATAGAAAAGTGCTAATGGTGCACTAACAATACGCAGTAGAGAAAGAATTCAGGCAAACTGTTAGTCAACACTCGAAAGTATAAATAGACTTGAGAAACAGCTCATGCACGAAATGCAAATTCTAATTCTAGCAGCGTGGGAAAATTCGCTGATTTTCTTAATACGCACATATTTCTCAGTGGCATAAGCACTAGCGAATGTCGCAAGCATTTACTCGCCGATCTTCATTAATATTTATTAGATTAATTTCGTAAATCTCTGTTGCGCCAAAACTCCTGGAAATCAAACATTTGAATAGCTATAGTGGAAATTAAGACCATGTCGAATTGATAACTAAAATGGTAACAAATTTGCTGTAAGCTGTCGAAAGTTCTTGTTTTCTAAGAATAGTCACCTAAGAGTAGTTTACTTCACCGTGTAGTGAGAAGCAAGTGGAGACACGGAAAGGCTTCTCGAGTTCTCCTGAATAGATCTGAAGCCTATCTTATGAGGCGGACTTCGAACTACTTTCTGTATATTGTGGAGTTCCCAGAACCCCTTCAATTCGGTTCTGTCCCTGTTGCCTTAAATCCGTTAGGTAGAAGTGTTCGAATCTAGGTGTTATCTTCAATTGAGGATTTTGTCTTTAAGGTGGATGGAATTGAATGCTGGTGAAATATGATTCTCTTTGAATATCAGGATAGCCACGAAGGCTACAGGTCAATTCGGTAAAGTAGAGACGTACAGCGAATAACCTTAGTCTTAATCCACCTGCAATTCAGGTAAGTGCACACGTTCGCCAGTGCTTTGGTTTAACCTGTATTTGCCATAAGAAAGAACCTCTTCAGCCGGTCTCGCAACTAACCTGCTATAGGTCATAGTTATTTAAGTGATTAGGGAGTACATAGTAAGCATCCAGGTAACCCCTCCAACAATAGCTTCTGTACGTGCTATTGAAGCATTTGACATAGTAAATTGCGTATCACTATACCCTTCCTCTGAAGAAGTTGATACTTCCGAAACCTCCGCTACGAATGTGTTATACTTGTGTTGTTGAATAGAAGTCAGCGTATGCTGTTTAACAACCTCGCGATTGTTGAGAGAGAAAACGACGAATACCTTCTTATTCGGCAGAACTCGAAAAGTATCCTATATCGCCAAGTCTCGCTAAAATTTAGAGAAATCCGTTTAACACTGACAATATTAATAAACTACGATGGTTCAAAAATGCTTTACAGTGGAGGATTTCGTCTTTATGCACCTACAAATACACAATATAGTCTTAACTCTTTTATTTACTGCCTTTTTCTTCTTAATGGCAGGGTATGTTGTGAAATATAACTCGTATGAAGTGCTGAGATACCTGCAAAACTCCGGACCACAGGTGTATGCAGTGGGGAACGAACACCCGCTGTTGTCCTTACCGGGGATTGTGATTGTGATTATAACGAGGCCTCAGCCTAACTGGGTTCAATGCCGATATTGGCTCCCCAGATCAATCCCGTTGACGGGTGATTGCTGATGGCAAAAAGATCGATAGAACTAGCTGAGATACATGCAAAGCGAAGGACCCGGATGGTGTAGTGGTGAAGTGCGCTGCTCCCCGGTAAGGACAACAGCGCGTGTTCGTTCCCCACTGCATGCACCTGTGGTCCGGAGTTTTGCAGGTATCTCAGCACTTCATACGAGTTATATTACACAATATAGTATTCTTTCTTTGATGAGCTTACACGAGGTTGATAATGATGTTTATTTTCGGCTAACGTTTCGACGTCTTCGTCTTCCTCAGAGCCGATGAACCGAGTCGATGGTCCTCGCTTGTTATTCCTTGTCCTTGTTATAAATTCATCAAAGAAAGAATACATATTGATTAGTGATACTGAGGTTCAGGGAATGTCGGTTTCGAAATACACAATATAGTGTTTAGGCTTTTCTTGTTGCCAGTTACTTCACTTGTGTGAGGACTATGCATGAGAGACTTATAGATTAGACGAGTTGAAATAAGAGAGAGTAAGAGAATTAATAGTCAATATTATTGATTTTAAAAAGCTTGATAACAGAGAAAATCCGATTCTCAGCGAATAAACTCTAGAAGTGACCGATTTAATCAATTATCATCAGCCCATCGTCCGTCAGTCAATGTGTGTAATGGTGATTTGTCAGCTCATTTATCTTTTCGTTTAGCCTCAACGTGAGATTCGATATAAACAGTTATCATTGTATCACCAGATATCACTCCTTTACACCAAAAGCAATCTCTAGAGTGTTTTTGTGGGATGGAAAAACAAGGACGGGGACATTTTTGAAGAAGGCATAGAGTCATATCAACATAGTGGAAGTATCTCTTCACTATTCACTAAACCATGTTCTAACTATGTTCTAACCATATTCTACATTTTTTTAAAATTAATTAATAGCTTATCTTTATAACTGTTAAAAAAGGACAGCAGTTTGACCCAAAGCCGTCGCAAAGTTTTCTCGTGAATTGTTCAATAGATAATCTCTAGGAGATAACCAAGATGAAATTGTCTAGAACACGAGGTCACACCTAGCAGAGTCAAATGAGCTGTGAATGAGTTCAACATTTCTATCCAACATTCTAAACGAATGCGTCATTTTCTTGTTCAGCAATCGCAAGGTTGTTATACAGCATACGTTTGCTTCCATAGAAAAACACAATGCAATACAACAGTAGCTAACGTTTCGGCAGCATCGTCTTCTTGAACGCCGCTTTTTTCGTGACTTCCAATGAGAAACATTAGAACAGTCGATTATAGTCGCATATGGCTAATTTTAAACGAATGCCAGAAATTCCACCCATCTTGGAAGAAGCTCAGTGGCAAGCTGGTGAAGCTTTGGATCTTTATGGCTAGGCGAATGCACACGGCGGCAACTTGCGAAAATGACGGCTTTCTCTCCACTTCAGGCAAAAATTTTCTCAGCCACTGCATACGGTTGTATTACAAGGGTATTGTAATCGCTCACACTGAAGTGTAGCAAAATCTTTGTCGACGAACGACTCTACACGAATCCTCAATTTTTCATAACACTCACATGAGTGAGAAATAACGACTCTGTTCAATTGGTTTGGCTTGAAGAATAAAAAAACAGTGGCTGATTATTATCACAGATTATCGAGTTCAAGTTCTATATATGGCGTTAACATTTTCATAATGGACTCAAGGACTTAATTAAACGACAGGAAACAGCACAAGTAGCCACTTCAAGCTTTGGAGGGGACCGCGTCCATCATGAGAGCGCCATCAACGTTGCTGTTAGACTTCGACAATGACGGAAGCTATTCACAACATCACATCTACAGAGCACGATAGAGTAGTGTTACGATTAGAAGGTTGAACATTAAACCTGAAGGTCCGCAAATCTGACCAATGTTGGGAGAACGGGGTATAGAGGTAATAAAAATGAATAAAAACAATTATTACTAATAGCTACTGTAATATAAAACGACACGAGGCAGCTGGATTCTATCAAATAAACTTATCTTATTGTCCATAACATAGCGTGATGATAGGTAAAAAACATGACAAGGAGATTCATGGTGTATTAAAGCAAACCGTGGGCATCGAAATGAACCGAATGGGAATTTTTAACGAAAATCACATCCACCATTTCAATTGCTGAGCTGCACCACCCATGTGGACAGTAGTCTGCTCCGCCTAATACTTTCCCATTTTTCCATCTTGCTTTGTTACATATAGAAGTGTCAGCATATGTCGTACGGTGATAAGAGGTGCATTGCAAAGCACACGTAGTTGCTGGTTCCATCCGCGCCCACAAGCCTCCACCCCCTATCTAAGGTTGGAAATTCATATATATCGGATGCATGCGCAC